CCCTTGGCTGGGCAGCAGGCAATAATATATGCAAATCTTTAGGTTTGGGGAAATGCTTTCAGCTATTCCAGCAGGCAATAATATGTATCTTCAGCCCTGCTGAAGCATCAAAGTCCACCAACCTTTTGATGAACTTCTTGAATTTATGACCTGCTGGAATTAGCCCCCAGTACAATCAATATTAAAATCATTAAAGCCCTAACCTGTTTGGCTCATCGGCCTATAGACTGAAGGGTCCGGTCAAGGGCATGTACCTTGGTTGTGGGCACATCCCCAGTAGGGGGTGTGCAGGAGGCAGCTGATAGATGTTTCTCTCTCATCGATGTTTCTAACTCTCTATCTCTCTCCCTTCCTCTTCCTCTCTGTAAAAAATCAATAAAATATATTTTTAAAAATCATTAAGATATTTATGTTCTTCTTTTATATGAATTCCTTGAAATCTGGTGTGTATTTTACTAATGTGGACTTGCCACATTTAAGTGCTCATTATCCACATGAGGCCAGTGGCGTGTACTGAATAGCACAGTTCTATAGGATATGTATTAACTTGTTATTCTATAATATGAAGTAGAGAATTTCATGGAATTACTGTTAAATACAAAATCTCTTCTGATTACCAGAGCTTTCAGTGCTTACTAAATTGGGACTTCTGAACATTAGAAATAAATCACTTAGTAGCTGTCAATAAAATAAAAAATGATAGCCTCCCAAATTTCCTTTAAAGATAACTTTTCATAGGACCATTAATGAAAGAATATAATCTGCCTAGTTGTTATGTGGTTGATTATTTTCTCTTGCTTATAGCTAGTTTCTATTAGAAACGTGTATGCCGGAATACTACTTGGCATAGTACTGTTTTTAGTACATGGTACCTATTTTTTTAAGGAAATTAATTTCATACTAGAAAAGATAATTTATCATAAGTGATACTTTTGCATGAAATACTAGTTTTATTGATAACTCATGGTTAACTCTTTTTTAAATATATTTTATTGATTTTTTACAGAGAGGAAGGGAGAGAGACAGAGAGTTAGAAACATCAATGAGAGAGAAACATCGATCAGCTGCCTCCTGCACACCCCCCACTGGGGATGTGCCCACAACCAAGGAACATGCCCTTGACCGGAATCGAACCTGGGACCTTTCAGTCCGCAGGCCGACACTCTATCCCAGTGATGGCGAACTTATGAAACGTGTGTCAGAGGTGACACGCGAACTCATTTTTTTGGTTGATTTTTCTTTGTTAAATGGCATCTACACTAATAAAAGAGAAACATGGTAATTAGCGTACGACCGCTACCCTTTTCATTGGCTAATCAGTGAGTATATGCAAATTAACGGTCAGCCAAGATGGCGGCCGGCAGCCAGGCACTGAAGCGAGCACGAGGCTTGCTTGCTGCAGACTCCAACATTCC